TGGTCCCACTCATTCCGGCGGGGGGCTCGCCGCTCTCAGCAGCCTCGCTCCCCGGTCTCTCAAAGCCTCTTTCAGCCGCGCTGCGGGCTCCTCACCGGAGGAGGCTGGCGCTACATAAAAGCGCTTTATGACAATTATCATATCAGGCGGCGCAGAGCATGTCCGCGGAGGCAGCCCGGCCGCTTTCAGGCATTGAGCCACGTTCAGCTGGGCTGGGCTGTAAAGAGCCATTTGAATTCGGAGCCTGGCTGGAGCAGCCGCAAGAACAAGGAGGAGAGCAACAGAGCCCCCTTTATCCGCCCGGCTCGGCCCCTGCTTGCTCATTCCCGGGCTGTCGCACCTTTCTCACTTATGGGCAAATGCGCGGGAGAGGGGGGGCTGTTACGGGGAGGGGCAGCGCGTTAGAGCCACAGGCCCGTGGAGCGCCCATCCTTATTCCCAGCGGACGTTCTTCGCAGGAGCCTGGAAGCCAGAGGAGAGCCCTTGCGTATGCAGCACACAGGCCAGCCAAGGCCTTGCGTTCGCCCCTCTACAAACCCCAACCCAGAGCCAGCATGTCCTGGCACCCAGAGCACGCGCCTTGCTCCTGGGCCCACGCAGCCCGAAGGGAAGGTGCCCCTTGTGAGTCCCAGAGCGGCCGTGTCAACAGTTCAGGCATTCTCAGTGGCACTGTGATTTCTTCCCTCCATAGGTACCAGCCCCCTTGCGCTGCTGCTGACTTTCAGGTTTGCACTCGTGTCAGGCCAGAGAGGGGCACCGGCTTCTTTAGCTACCTGCCACACTGCAAAGATGCCTCTGAAATAACCTCCGAATACATGAAATATACGAATCCAGCCACGGTCTCCTTTACATTTCTGTGAACACTTTACACTCCTCTCCCCCTCCCTCCCTGTTTCGGGACACAAAACCGTAGGAGCCAGCAAACCGGTTGGGCTTTGGCAGATATGATCTATGGAGGCAGATGAGCCGATGTGCTATTCAAAATATTGTCCATTGTGTTGGTAATCGCCTTTAGCCGAAGCCCGTTTATGATTATAATAACCCTTTTCATATTAATAAAGCCAAACCCTCCTCTTCAGCGCTCTGCTGCCGGGTGTCCTACGCAGGTGTCTTGAGCAACCTGTTCACACTGTGATCTCAGGCGCCTCTTCTTCGTTTATTATTTTGGTGAGCAAGCAGGTGCTGTTAAAACACACACACACGCACGCACGCACACGAATAAACAAAGGGCCTGTTTGCGCTGGATCTGCGAGCATGAAGAATTGTTTAATTTCAGGGGAAAGGGAAAGGAGCTGCTTATGCCGGGATGTGACATTTCCTGTGGTGAAGCCTGCATTGGCTGCTAATAGAGATCTAATTGATGGGTGAAGTCCCATTTCCGCGCTCTCTCCTTTATTGCTCCATCCAGTCTGTTGCAAAATATAACCTTAATCTGATTTAGCAATTCCTCCAGGAGTCGGTGCAAGTTTACAGCACTGAAAAATCGTTATTAAAAAAGTTAAAGAACAGACTTGGATTCAGCGCGTTG